CAATATGGTACAGGTTGAATATCCCTTATCTGAAATGCTTGGGACCATAAGTGTTTTGGATTGTGAGATATTGCATAGTACTTAGTGGCTGAGCATCCCAAATCTGAAAATCCCAAATCCAAAATGAGCATTTCCCTTGAGCACCATGTCAGTACTCAAAAAGTGTAGGATTTGGGAGGAGCATTTCAGACTTCAGATTTTTGGATTAGGGATACTTAATCCATAGTGTTGCCCTTAGCTCCACTTACATTTTAAAACTGGCTGGAGTTCATGTCAGTTATATTAGAGAAACCTGCTTTGCTGTTTGTGTCATTGATGAACCATTTCAGACTTCAGATTTTTGGATTAGGGATACTTAATCCATAGTGTTGTCCTTAGCTCCACTTACATTTTAAAACTGGCTGGAGTTCATGTCAGTTATATTAGAGAAACCTGCTTTGCTGTTTGTGTCATTGATGAACCACTGCAATATCCTTGCTCCACATTTTTAAGGTCAGCAGGGGTTGAGGACAGTCCTGTGTGAGTATACATACACTTTGCTCTAAGTACTGGTAGTCTATCCACCACTGGGATTTGCTTTCCTAGACCTTGAGTCAAGGTGACAAAAGAAGCATGTAGGAAAAGTCTTAAGAATTTTATGTAAATTTTTTCATTTTGTATTTTACTTTAAGTAGGAGGTAATAGTTGATGAGATAGTTGGGAGTCTAAAATGTTGGAAAGAACTGCATCTTTAATGCATCATTTTATCTAATTCTTCTGTATAAATAACTTGTGAAGATTCTAGTATGCCTTCCACATAGTTGACAGTTTCAAAGGAACCAGTATCACTTCTAGTATATTCAGTTTGTAGGGAGTAAACTGATGTTCACTGAACCACCTTCGTATTGTACTAGGCCATACTAGCTTTCTTTGTGTTACTTATTCCTTATTAAACCATAAGGAGCGAGTTGGTTTCATTTTAAAAGCCAGACAGTTGAGACTTGTTGAGGCTCTTTGGAATGAAGTTGTTGCCTGAGATCCTGCAGTTAAAAAGTGACAGAGCATGGAATCCAGCCCTTCAAAGCTGTGCTGTTTTCTTCTGTACCGTGATCTTACAGATTATGAAATCTGTCTGCTGGGGTGGGAAGAAAACAAACTTAGGTATGCCCTTTTTTTTTTGGGTAGGTTACACAAACGTGTTGTAATTCAGGTAATTAGGTTTTCAGAGGTGTCTGTGTGTTCTGTAACTTTTAAATTATTAGCTAGTTAAGTGAAGATTATTCATTTGGATCAGAGGATAAGCTGGGCTCATCAAGCCTACCATTGACAGAGTGCTGGGCTAGGCCTCTCATACTGTACCTTGAGTGGGTGGTTTGTAAATTGACTCCAAAGCTAAAGAGGTGATTGGTCACATTTAAGGTTATTGTATACCACCCTTTGCAGGCCTGTGTGTGTCACTGAACTTATGACTTGACTGAGTTTAGGAGATCATTTTCCTTGTTCCTTGTTTGGTTTTTATGGCATATGGCAGGTGGTGGTGGTGTTTTTTTTTTTTTTTTTTTTTTGATAGAGTGCCCGTATATCCTGCAGTTTACAGAATTATTGTTCCAGAATAATTTTCTGGTTTGGAAAGTAAATTATGTGGTTATCCAGATAGTACAAGAGAAATCTGGTCATTATAACTAATTACATTTTGGTCAACATGGTTATATTACCTTAAGGAGTGCTTATTTAAATTTGGTCTTACCTTTTTTCTCTTGTTTGGTCAGATGCAGCAAATATTTATATTTACATTTCTCTATTTGGATTAATTCTTCAATTGCAGTTTAATTTATCCATATAAATGGAATAGAACCAAAATTGCATTCTAATTCTGTGCAAAACAATAAAATACTTTCCGAGAAGGTTGCCTTTTCTTTTGGGAAGAGGGGGAATCTGTTCTGTTTCAAAGCACTTTTGTGTTTGAGGTTTGGCTAAATACGTCCATCACCACTAGAGAACTGCTGCTTTTGCATTCTACCAGTATTACTCCCATTACAAAAGTTTTTTAAGGAAAAAAAAGTAGTACCAAGGAACCCGTCCACATGCTTTTCATAACTATACCTATTTTATTGTCTCAAAATTTTTACTTGAGAGGTTTTCCTGAATGGTGAACTGTGTGTGACAAAAGGCATATATAAATATAAAAATAACAAGTTAAAAAACCTCATGTTAGCTGAAGATTCTTCCATGTATATTATTGTAAAAATAAGGGAACCCTGGAACCCAGTGCTCATTGTATTTTGTTGAAGAAATGTTCACTTCTTTAAAAGGAAGGAAAACATATGCATAACTTACTGTATATTTTATTTGGAACCATTTTTAAGGCATGTATAGTTTATCTCTTGAAGACTGAAATTCAAGGCTTATGACTATGACTAGAGTATAAAATTTAGCTGTATTGCATTATAGTATTTTATATATTTCTGCAAACTAAATTGACCTCTTTTTGGTTTTGTTTTTCCTTTCCCAGTCTTTACCAGGTGCTGGTCTATGGATGTATTTTCTTTAAATTGGAAAAAATCTAAAAACCTACCCACAGACTGGTATGGTATCCAGTGAGAAGGGAACTGTCCACAGTGGCTTTGAAGGATCTAAGGAAACCTAGTCAGAGAGTTGAGAATTCAGCCTTGAGCTAGTGTTTGGCCATTCTGCTGCTTCTCCTGTGGGCAGAGCGACTTTACTAAGAGAAGTTAAGAGTTAGGGCTAGCATGAGAGCTTGATGCAGTTTGAGCATTCAACAGGCAGCAGAATATAGCTTCTGTATCTACCTTGCATAAATCAGAATTGACAGTGAAAAAGTGTTACTGATAGTAACAGTGCTTCCCAGTGATTGAGGAAGTGCTTGTTTTCTTTTTGAGCACTTCGTTCTCTGAACATATACGCTGCAGCAGCTACTCTGACATATACCCCATTCTATTCCCCCCTACCCCCAGATAAAACCAGAAATACCCACTGTGTTTTTCTCTCCCTTCTTTGGAAAGCACATGGTTGCTGCTGCCATGGGGAAGAGTGATACTCCATCAGCCAGCTAGCCTCCTGAAAATTGAAACAAGTGGCCAGAGGATGACTTGGATGGATGTTGGGTAGCAGAGAGAGCCCTGGAGGCAGGGTTTCGTAACTGCAAACAGCAGTTTTCATTGTAATTGATGAGCTTCCCTTATGCAGAAACATTTAAAGGTACCCTTTTAAATAATGTTTACTAATCATCTGATTAAATTTTATTAAAAATTTAGATTCTTCATAATGTCACAGTGTTTAAAAACTTGAAAGTGTTTGGGGGTGGGGAAGGTGGTCATAGAAATATGATCAGCTTCAGGATTTGACATGTATGAAATGATAATACATTTCAACTTTTAAGTTTTTTTTTTGCTTTTCTCTGACAATTTTATTTATGCCAGCCATTGAGACTTAGAAAGGATTTATTTAAATCACTTTTCATAGCACAATTATTGTAGTGCTTAATGCTTTAAAAAGGCATACAGATGGCATTGAGACATTCCTATCTAGGTAGTTTTTTCTGCATTAGACGTAAGAACCTAATTTTGTAGGGCAGTAGTCTCCAGGTATTATATCTAGCTCCTTTTGACAGTGAGAAGTGTGTTTTAAAGTTTTTAATACTGTGGTCTGTTTTGAACAGTTTTGAGAAGAGGTGGCTTTAGTATCATTTATAGGACTCAAAAAGAAAATGCCTTGGAGAAAGTATGGAAAAGCATTCTGCTCTGAGGTTGCCTTATTGCAAATGGAGAAATCATTTAGAAGTTCATGTTTGGAGGGCATTAGGTTGAATAAAAATGTTTTTTCGTGTTGATCTATCAGCTACAATTACAATTAACTTCGAATATTCAGAATTTGTCTCTTTTTTCAGGAGAAAAGCCATCAAATTAATAAATTTAATTTTAGGTAAATTTAAATGTCTGTTTTGCAGAGTGGTTGTCTTAATCCAGAACTGAAAAATTCCTGATGGTCTTACTGAAGATTTATCTAATGGTCAACAAATATCTGTTTTGTTGAGGTTTGGTGGACATAATAATCATTTTTTAGTCTTCAGAAAACTTTTCTCCTCCTCCATCTTTTCTCTGCTTTCTATACCCTTCAACAAAAAGCATTAAAAGGAAAACAGAGTCAGTAAAGTCAAACCTTTAGTCAGTGCCTTTATCTTCTCAGAGATTCTCTTGGAAATACTGCCTGACGAAAAGGAAGAGAAGGAAATTACCTCTTCTAAAATTTTCTTTTTATCTTCTTGCAGCATCTTCTAACTAGCAGAAATAATACAATTTTCAAGTTGTTTTGTAAGTTGGATGTTTCTGGTTTTGTGTGGAATGTCTTGTTTCCCATTAGGGCAGTGGATGTCTCACAAGTTCTAGGTTACTGTATGACAACTATATCCATTTACAGACATTTAAGAAGCGTTATAACAATGTATTTCCAGAGAGTAGGCAGGACTTGATTTTCTGTATTTAAATTTTCTGAGGCAGATGATAACATCTAGTAAACACCACCTGCCTATTCCATCCAGGACCCTAACTAGCCATAAGGTTAGCCCCAAACTCTGTTAGGATTCACAGTATTTTAAGGTTCATTTTTGTGTCCTTTATTATGAATATAATTAGTATTTTCTCCCCTTTCGGGTGCTTTAAGATCTTAATACCTGTTCCAATATGAGACTACCACAGTAAGACAAGAAAGGGCAATGCTGTAGTAGGCAGTCAGTTAAGCGCTTAAGTTAGGCCACTTTATTATGAGGTTGATGAGTTTTTGTCCTTAGTTTGAAATGATTAATATTCTCACTGACAGAAGTATCAGCTGTGATCACATAGATTGCTCTTTCCTGTGGAACTGAAGTGTATTTTAAAAGTTTTTTTTTTCTTTTTATAAAGAATGTCTTGTTGCGCCGTGATTGCTAGACTGAAAGTTTCCTCATCACGTGGTGAGACCCTCCTCTAATTCAATCTTTGTCTTTTGTCTTTGCTGCCTTGCAGGGTTGGTACAGTAGGCTTCACTAGACTTAGCTGCAACTCAGAATTTCTCCTCCAGCACCTGAGTAAATGCTGATGGTCTTGTGGAGAGTGGATTAAGAGTACGAGCTAAGTTCTCAATCCCAATTAAGAAGCGGAAAATTTAAACTGTCTTCTTCAAAGTTTATCACAACCACCACCATCAAGACAGCAAACCAAAGGACAAAGACTTTGACCTGCTGTGTTGCTCTGTATAGTCCAGTTCACGTATGGTTTACAGACTTGGCTGGGGTTACTAAAAATAAAAAAAGTTGGACACTTCTGTCTTTGGACGCTATTATTCACAAGTTACCAGAATGAGAGCTGTACTGGACACAGCAGACATTGCCATAGTGGCCCTGTATTTTATCCTGGTCATGTGCATTGGTTTTTTTGCCATGTGGAAATCTAATAGAAGCACCGTGAGTGGATACTTCTTGGCGGGGCGCTCTATGACCTGGGTAGCAATCGGTGCCTCTCTGTTTGTGAGCAATATTGGGAGTGAGCACTTCATTGGGCTGGCAGGATCTGGAGCTGCAAGTGGATTTGCAGTGGGCGCATGGGAATTCAATGCCTTACTGCTTTTACAACTTCTGGGATGGGTTTTCATCCCAATTTACATCCGGTCAGGGGTATATACCATGCCTGAATACTTGTCCAAGCGATTTGGTGGTCATAGGATTCAGGTCTATTTTGCAGCCTTGTCTCTGATTCTCTATATTTTCACCAAGCTCTCAGTGGATCTGTATTCAGGTGCCCTCTTTATCCAGGAGTCTTTGGGTTGGAATCTTTATGTGTCTGTCATCCTGCTCATTGGCATGACTGCTTTGCTGACTGTCACCGGAGGCCTTGTTGCAGTGATCTACACAGACACTCTACAGGCTCTGCTCATGATCGTTGGGGCACTTACACTTATGATTATTAGCATAATGGAGATTGGCGGGTTTGAGGAAGTTAAGAGAAGGTACATGTTGGCCTCACCCAATGTCACTTCCATCTTGTTGACATACAACCTTTCCAACACAAATTCTTGTAATGTCCACCCTAAGAAAGAAGCCCTGAAAATGCTGCGAGATCCAACAGATGAAGATGTTCCTTGGCCTGGATTCATTCTGGGGCAGACCCCAGCCTCGGTATGGTACTGGTGTGCTGACCAAGTCATCGTGCAGAGGGTCCTTGCAGCCAAAAACATTGCTCATGCCAAAGGCTCTACTCTTATGGCTGGCTTCTTAAAGCTTCTGCCAATGTTTATCATAGTTGTTCCAGGAATGATTTCCAGGATACTGTTTGCTGATGATATAGCTTGCATCAATCCAGAGCACTGCATGCTAGTGTGTGGAAGCAGAGCTGGTTGCTCCAATATTGCTTACCCACGCCTGGTAATGAAGCTGGTTCCTGTGGGCCTTCGGGGCTTAATGATGGCAGTGATGATTGCAGCTCTGATGAGTGACTTGGACTCTATCTTTAACAGTGCCAGTACCATATTCACCCTCGATGTGTACAAACTTATCCGCAAGAGCGCAAGCTCCCGGGAGTTAATGATTGTGGGGAGGGTATTTGTGGCATTTATGGTGGTGATCAGCATAGCATGGGTGCCAATCATCGTGGAGATGCAAGGAGGCCAGATGTACCTTTATATTCAGGAGGTAGCAGATTACCTGACACCCCCAGTGGCAGCCCTGTTCCTTCTGGCAATTTTCTGGAAGCGCTGCAATGAACAAGGGGCTTTCTATGGTGGAATGGCTGGCTTTGTTCTTGGAGCAATCCGTTTGATACTGGCCTTTGCCTACCGTGCCCCAGAGTGTGACCAACCTGATAACAGGCCAGGTTTCATCAAAGACATCCATTATATGTATGTGGCCACAGTATTGTTTTGGGTCACGGGACTCATTACTGTAATTGTGAGCCTTCTCACGCCACCTCCCACAAAGGAACAGATTCGTACCACCACCTTTTGGTCTAAGAAGAACCTTGTGGTGAAGGAGAGCTGCTCCCCGAAAGAGGAACCATACAAAATGCAAGAAAAGAACATTCTGAGATGCAGTGAGAATAATGAGGCCATCAACAACATTATTCCCAACGGGAAATCTGAAGACAGCATTAAGGGCCTTCAGCCTGAAGATGTTAATCTTTTGGTAACCTGCAGAGAGGAGGGCAACCCAGTGGCTTCCTTAGGTCATTCAGAGGCAGAAACACCAGTTGACGCTTACTCCAATGGGCAAGCAGCTCTCATGGGTGAGAAAGAGAGAAAGAAGGAAACGGAGGATGGAGGTCAGTACTGGAAGTTCATAGACTGGTTTTGTGGCTTTAAAAGTAAAAACCTCAGCAAGCGGAGTCTCAGAGACCTGATGGAGGAGGAGGCTGTTTGTTTACAGATGCTGGAAGAGACTCGGCAAGTTAAACTAATACTAAATATTGGACTTTTTGCTGTGTGTTCACTTGGAATTTTCATGTTTGTTTATTTCTCCTTATGAACTTATGGATATGGTGAGACACTAACTTAATACTGACTGGTCTTTGGGGAAAAAAAGTTATGTAACTGTTGCATCTCTCAGGCATTGTTTACGCTGTAGGTTTTAGCCAAATTTTACTTAGCAGAAAATCATCTATTTACAGGACTTTATTTTCCCAGAGATGGATGAAAGTAAATCTTCAACTTAAATGAAGCAAAACCTAACAGACTGAATTGTGCAAATGTGGTTTTAAATTTTACATACCAAAGTAAGGAGAGACCAGTTATTCTCACAGAGCACTTAGAGCAGAGTATATGTTAAGTTACCATGAATTAAGGTATACTGTCTGCACTGCCAAGTCTTGGCAGACCTTCTTACCCAGAAGTGTAGAAGATTTGCTCATTTCTAAAAAATTTTTTCTGTCTCTGTAATCCCTACCATTTAAAAAACCTGATTTCTTAGACATTGTACAATCAGTTATGTACTGAAAATCTAATGTGCTTGTGTGATACTTGTTTCAGGACAAGTTTGTTTGCCAGGTTCATTTTGTTAGCATGAGCCTAGGGATTCAGATTGCCAAAAGAAAGACTGTTTTCCTCTAGGTATTTTTGTACCACAACTATATGGAATGTTAGGGAAAAACATTGTTCCAGTTCCTTTTTTTTTTTTTTTTCTACTTGAAGTTGAAGTGAACCATACTGAAATGAGCAACAAGTCTGCCTGTAAAGTTACATGTCATGATTGTATTGTTAAATAATTATGGGGGAGAAAATGAAGTAAATGTTGCTGATGATCCCCATATTTATTGATCAGATTAAGGTCGTTCATATAGTTTGGAAATGACCAGCCCCCAAGTAGTGTTTTACTAACTTATGCTAAACGGATGATTCCTCATATATTCTGCTAATGTTCTAGCTTTGTTCTTGTTATTTGGAAAAATTATTAGCCATATGCCTTCCTTGGTGGATCCAGTTGGAAGATATGTCCAGAAACCTGAAGAAAAATTGACGCTGCCTTTGTGTGCTGGATTGCTCTACTTGATATATCAAGGTTGAATTTTTAGAGGGAAAATTTAATTCTGTTATCTTATTTCATCCTTGATACATTTTTCCCTGATTTTTTTTCCTCAAAAGACTTGCCATCTGTACACAGCCTCTTCATTTTTGTTATAGTAACTTGGAGTATGAGGATGTTTCAATGCAAGCTGGCCATCAGTAACAGAAAACTCAGTGCATACTTTACTGTTGATAGGTTGTCAGTATAGTCTTTCTGTAGGATGGATAGCATGTTTGAGAGGTGCCAAACAAGAACTTTTGGGGTCAGTAGTGTATCTTGTGGAGGGTATTATAGGACTGTGTAATTATAGAATTCTAACTTGACGTGGCTTGGCACCCAGTTGCAACATCTGTGGATGGGAATCTTTTTCACAGGCTATTTCTCCTTAGTGGGTACAGGGTACAAAAGATGTTAGAGAAAAGCTCTACAGATTATGTACTTCTGTGTCTTTGTGTGCTCAACACTGTCCTTTGTCCTCCATGAAAGATGAAAGAAACAAATTATGTATGTACTTTCTTTGACTTTCTTTAATCTCTGATACTTTTTAGATTGCATGATTTTACTAGGCTTGTATTTAGGGAAGTTACTTTTATAAATACTTTTGTAGATTTTTGAATCAAAACTCAGTCTTGATTTTAATTTTTTTGTAGTCTGTAAACTAGTTTCATTATGATGGACTTGATTAGTCCACAGTTAATTTTAGAAATTATCAGGTAGTGTAGTGTCTTCCCATGATCAGGAGGCTTTCTGATGGACTGAGTTTATAAATGAGAAAATAATTTATGTACGAATAGCATGTATTTCTGAAGAGCTTAGAGTGCCTTGTAGAATTTTTTTCTCGATTTTATTCTTGAGGTTTATAATTTGGGGGCCAAATAGAGACCATCCTTTCCTTGTTTGGAGGTTGAGGCTGTGACATGTCCAAGGTTATAAAGTCTTATTTGGGAAGAACAGAAATCAGGTCTCCAAATCTGGACTCATGGTTTGTTCAGATGTGTCTGGACAAATGATTGTCAGTGTTTTGTTCTGTTTTCTCAAAGGAACTGATCTTTCCTTGAGACAACCTTTTGGTATTTGGATTTTTCAAATTGCCATTAAGTTATAAGAATTAAAATTTTCTTTGAACCACACTGCTGTGTAATTTGGCAGTGATAATTGACATATTAGCCGGGCAGCCTTTCTATCTCTTCCATATCCAGCATAAATGACTAGGAAGTGTTTGTGATTTTTTTTTTTCCTCCTTTTATTTAACATTGAGTCCTAATAGTTTGGAGAATTAGGGTCCCTCTACCTTCTCTCTGCTCTTGTCTTAGTAAGATACATAAGGTACGTCATCTTGTGTCTGTGTGTATATAGCAGTAGGTCAAGTTTAGAGTACTAAAGTCTGTAAATAAGGAATGACTATTAGCATATTCATTAGAATTGTTTATTCTTGCCAGTATAAACATCACTTTATTTAGACGAAAGTCCCTGAAGCTTGTCTTTCTTATTGCTTCCCAGTAATAGATAATGTGCTCGAATAAGTATGTGAATTGCTGATTGCAACTTCATTCAGGGACCAGTCTTCAGTCTATATTTCATTAGAATGATTGTTGCTGGAATGAAACATGGACTGTCTTAAGCTAGCAAAATGTTCATACTTTACACTGACTAAATGAGTTCTAAATGACATTGGTTTTTAGACATTAACGTGCATATTTTTATATTAGCTCAAGCTAAGGTTCAGAATTGAAGATTGATACTGACTAGAATAGCTAAAAGTCAAAATGAGATGAGGACGCTGGTCTTGGAAGGTAGAGAAAAATACATGTCTTACCAGGTGTTAATGGTATCCCCGGTTCTTAGACTTTTTTGTCTTCTCAGGCAATTAAAATTAGTCCCATGATCTGATGAGAAGAGCGTATTACATTTGGTATGCTGATTGATTATTGTGTATTTTGTGGGACCTCCAATTTCCCTGGTCGTCTTTCAGAATATTCTGTCCTGCCACCCCCAGAGAGTAAACAGTTGAGTCAGTTTCTTCCCCAGCTACTCTTTCCTGGGGTTAATTATATTTTGTCTTTAGGTTAGAGAAGCATCAAGCAGTAGCAGTGGTGCTGTGTCCTTTGGCCTAAATTCAATAGATGTGATCTCCTAGGGCTTCCTTTTCACTTAGCTCAAAGGATCCATTGTCTTTTGGCACAAAGAGGCTGGCCAGGGTCATGTAGCCATAGCTCTTAGGGATAGTACCTCAAGAAATTAGCTGGGACCCATCAGTTTTTGAAACTTCACATTTTAAGAACTGAGTTGAGGCCTGGTATGGTGGCTCACACCTGTAATCCCAGCACTGTGGGAGGTTGAGGCGGGCAGATCACCTGAGATCAGGAGTTTGAGACCAGCCTGATCAACATAGTGAAACCCCATCTCTAGTAAAAATACAAAAATTAGCCAGGTGTGGTAACATGCGCCTGTAATCCCAGCTACTCGGGAGGCTGAGGCAGAATTGCTTGAATCTGGGAGGCAGAGGTTGCAGTGAGCTAAGATTGTACATCACTGCACTTCAGGCTGGGTGACAGAGCAAGACTCCATCTCAAAAAAAAAAACCAAAAACAAAACAAAACAAAACAAAAATGAGAGGGTTGTTATGCACTTCTGTAACCTGAGGCTAAGCAAGGGGTTAAGTCTTGTCAGGGCAATTCCAGTGTGTCTGTATTCACAGCCCATGGCTTATTTTCTCTATCATGGGCACATGATCTTCCCCTCTGACCTTGAATATCATTTGGTGTAGCCTATGGGTTATTTTCATTCTTTACCACCAAATACTTTAGCTTATTAGCCCCCCAATTATTTGCTACTCAAAGGTTAGGTCTTCCCTGTTCCTACTTGACAGTGTTAAAGCTTATGGGGTTGCCTTATGTTGACTCCTCTGGCTCGTTTTCATCAGAGGCATGATGACTGGAAAGGGATCACATGACTCGCTGATGGGGACACCTCACTATTTCCTAGGTTTGGGTAGAGAGAGTATACAAGACCTTTCCTGTTCAGTGATGTGACTACAGAGACTTGCCAGGACAAAATTTTCCTAAGAAATCAGAAAAATGATTAAGTGAGGTAAGTACCTGGGTGACACAGACATTATTAGCACGTTGGTAAAAGACAACAAATATCTTTAGCTTAAAATCTGCAGAAGTAGAATCGTTTTCATTGGATTCTAGAACTTTGTAGCACCTTGGGTCTCAGCTACTTTAAACTCCTCCCCATATAAATTAGGGCACTAATAAGTAAGTGTCAGCTTGTTAAACCTGGTTTGATGTTAAGCATTGTAAAGTACAAAATTTATTAACACATTAGGGATAATTTAGTAGAAAAATGTTTTGAGGCTTCAGTATTTATAAAATTTTGCATTAGCCAGGTGCTAGGTTGCTGAAGCCATTGCAGTGTTTGTAATAGTCTGAGGAGACTTCTTTACCAGTAGGATATATTTCTATGTGTGCATATGCTTGCTTCCCATTTAGAGAGACTGGTTTTTCTCTTTGTCTTCCTTCACATTGCTGTGTCAGTTCTACACCTAGTCTTTTCAACACTTAGCAAGTTCAAATTTTGATTTTGTCAGCTTAGTTCACTTTCAGGCATAGTGCCCTTTTGCCCCAGTATTGAGGACTTTTAGATCCAAATAATAATTCATTAAATACAGTTATATTTTAAGTATACCGAATTTCTGTTAGCCTAAAATGTTAATTTTCAAGAATGATATTCTCACACTTTGTGTTGGCTAATAATAAAAGCACTAATAGTTCATCAGTATTTTATTCCCAAAACTCCTTTTTCAAAAATTAGGAAGAGAGCAGTAGTGAACATTTATGTGAGCCCCTTTGAAATGATGGCGATAGAGTGCGGAGAAACAGTGGAGCTTTTATGCCAAAAGGCGTATTTTTTGCTGTAAAAATTTGGAATTAGTTGACATATAGAGGAACCCTTTTGTACTGGAAGATATGAGGCTGGATTGTGAAAAAGTAATCTTTTGATTGCTAGACTTGGTTAACTTGGGGCTGCAAATCGTTTTCTTCCATTAAGGTTGCTTAACGTGGAATGTTTTTGTCAGACTCTGTCCTCTGTTGGAATACTTTAGCTGTTCAGCTACTTTGACTCCTAGGAGAGAATTTAGTTAAGGTTCGAAGTAATTAACTGGCTTTGCCAGTGATGAGTCCCACACCATTATTCACTTAGTAGTCATATAAATGTTATTTAAACTTCTCTCTCTCCAATGCTGGGAATAAGGTTTTAAATTACTGATTCACCTTTGAAGGAATGTTGTGAGAATTGATGTAATTGGTGTTTGTTTCCATCTAAACTTCTTTGTAAAAAGAGGGATTAGTTTTTTTGTTTTGGGGTAAGCACCTAATTTATCTGGTAACCAACAACCCTAACCATTGGCATATAGTCTTTCACTCAGAAGTAAACAAAACAGTTTGGTATATCTGTATCATTGCCGATCTTGTACATTTCACTTTTTAGGGCAGTACCATACATAATCTGAGGCTGTTGACTTAAACCAATAATCTTACTTTATGTAACAACTTTATGTAAAGTAAGCAGCTGAAGAGCAAATCAAGACAAAGCACAGTGGTCTCAGATTCTTCATAGTGTAGGAACAGTGGTTTTGCTCTACACCATTGAAAAGCACTGTAACTTAATTGTTGCCCCTGATAATGAAGATTTCCCCCTCACTTCTAGGTGGTTTAGGTTCAGAGCTCTATTAGTAAGGGAAATACATACATATTACAGTGAATTCAGCAATAGCACAAGTTGGCAGTAGGTATCCCCAGCCTAATTTATCTTGGTAAATTCACCTTGTTCCCTAGTGCTGCTGGATAAGGGAGTGTTTACTTTTTATTGCTCTTTAACAGAGTAGTCAATTTATCAATGTAGCCTCGACTTCTGTAAGTGGAATGTTTGTTAGTAACTCATCTTTTTGTTGTTATAATTGGAAATAGAAATGAGGCTTATTGCTATTGTAGAAATCCCGAACTGGCAAAGGCCAGTTTATATGGTATTCCATAATATGACCAGCTTTTGAAATTTATGTGTTTGGATGAGTGCCTTCTGGTTACCAGTATTGACTCTGCTAGTTTGCACCTTTCCGTTCTTAACAGAGATATTTGCTACTACTCTTAAATTTTGTCATAGCTAGTGAAGGAAGTAAAAAACAAACCGTACCCGTTATACTTACATACTTTATGTGCAGCCTTTATTTAGGTTCAGTGAAACCAGGTAGTTCTTTGTGCTGCAGCCTGAATGTTATTTATTTGTTTCTTTTATATCCATAATTAAAAATTTCAAGTTACTTATGTTCTGTGATCTTAATTTTGTTTTTTCATTGTAGGTTTGATAGGTATACCTGAGAACAGATATGTGACAGCAGTTTATATTCCATGATAGAGAAAAAGCTAAAGTCCATAGAAAGCACAAAATCGTGTTCACACATCAGTGTATCCACATGTAGAAAGCACAAGACTAATAGAATTCTGAGTATCCCACAAGTGCCAGTCATAAAGGCCACCAGGTATTTGTCTCAGAGTTGCTATGAGGACTACAGTATTGATAAGCCCAAGACAATGTAGTATCTAAGTTACTGGTCCTAAGTGGTAATGGATCCAAGAGAATAATCTCAGTAAGCTTGTGCCACTTTGATGGAGGAAGAGAATATAAATGTCAAGAATGCCAAAATTACATTTGAGGGGTACTAGCTAAAATGGGGTTGGAGGGCTTTTTACTGTAACTTGGAACTAGAGAAACAGGGATGGATGTCTAGGTTTTTGGTGTGTAAGGCAGGTGACAAATTTTTGCTTTAAGCTGTAGTGTCATTGGAGTTTAAAAAAAAATCTTAAATCTTTTAAGAAATATTACCGCTCATCAACAGTGCCCCCCCCCCAAAAAAAACATGCAGAAAGTCATACTTTAAAAGGGCAAATACTCCTTGTCTTTGATTTTTTTGTGTAGGTTTGTATGTGAGCTAGGAAGTTACCTTTATTTTTTTCATATACTTGGCTGTGCTTCATTTTAATAAAGGAGTATTTAATCTGAGTGTTCTGAACATGAGACTAATTCTGAAGCACATTTGCCAGAGGAGCTACTTTGCTTTTCACAATGGGATGGAGAAGATTGTTTTACCTGTCCCATGAACCCTCTTCTAGTCTAGATGAGATGAAATCTGTGAATGTGTGTGCAGAAGAAAATGTGTGGTGTTCTACTCAGTATTGCCCTTTTCAACTCCTCACTTCATCTCTGAGTAGCTTATCAAGAATGAATGAATGTGTTTGTCTTAAATTTTGCCCATGTGTCAAAAGATGTAATTCTCAGAATGGGAGAGAAATGACTACCTTTGTTTCTACTCTTTTCTATTTTATATAATTATCTTTTTAGGGAAAGACCTGGTCAACTCTAATATATTTAGAAGGAAGACTATATCTAGTGTAGACTAATATGAGATGTTTTAGAAGAGTTAACCTGAACACTTTGAGGGAGAGATTATTCCTGCCAGCAAAAAGCTAGCCAGGTGTGAGCCTGCAACATTATTTGAGAATATTGAACCTCAGGCCTGGGGTATGAGGGCAAGAAGAGTACCAGAAATGCAGGGAAAAGAAGTTTGAGGAACATCCTTGGCTTAGCAACATGTGATAATGCAAAGCTGTGTTATAACCTGTTAATCCTACATATTATGTGTTCTGCACCTTTACATGTTTTTAAATTTAAAATCATTTGTAAGAACTGTACAAAAGAATGCTTTTGGAGATTTCTTTGGCAGAAATGCCTTTCATTTATAATTTCATGGAAAACTGCTTTAATTAGCCTAGGTAAAAAGTAGTCCTAGCAGTGTAAATATGTATAATTAGAGTTTTCTAATTTCACTGTGAGATCTCTAACTTTTGAGTGGCAAACAGATCAAGTCTTTTGCTCATAGACTTTTCTGTGGGGTTATTAAAATGCAAAAGCTTTATTTTTTTTAATAATGCCATACTCCATTAGTGTCAGATGATGGTATGGAATTTGTTCCCTGCTTTCCCCCACTGTTAACTGCTTCAGTTTATAGATTGCCAGCAGAGTTCAGAAATAGAGCAGGGATTTACCCATTCTTTGCTTGGACATACCGTTTTCTTTTGTCCAGACCCATGTTGGCAATCATGTATGAACTGTGTTATACTTCTCAGTGCTTTTTTTTTCTTTTTGATAAGATGGTTATCAAAAATAGTTGCTGTGCAAAAGTTAGTAGTCTTCT